GACGCACATATTCGATTTCGCAATTTTTGAATTACAAATAATAGATACTGAATCACTCGTAATGATCCGCAGGCGCCACCATCGACGTCAAATTAAATGACTTTAGGTCGTAAAGGCAGGCAGGGCTCACTAACAAACCATTCATTCAGAATATATATGACAATGCAGCCGTAAATAGCTATGTACAATGCACCCAACTGAACCTTTCGATCGCTATTTTAATATGTCAACGGTAGATCAAGTAACTCACCTCACTTGCTATGAGAAAGGAAATCAGAAAGATAATAACTTATTCACGGCACGCACAGAAACAAAGACAATGTGTGACAATCAGTTAATTTTTTTAGAAGGAAGGACAACAGAAAAGGAAGAATACCTAACTGAGCTTCTCCTTCTCCAAATGTTGAATAATTATTTGTTGTCATCAACATTTTCAAGGCCTTGAAAGGTTTTTAAGACTATATATGACATAAGACCGTTCGAGATTTCATTACTGAAGGTGTTAGCAGGGTTGCAATTTTTTTTATTTAAAAATTTTGCTCCACGTATTTGAGATTTCAAAATAAAAAAAAAATTAATTCAAATGTTTTTTTTTTTTTAATTGTGTTATTAAGAAACGTAGTTTTTCAATATATTTTAATACTTTCAGTAAAATTTAAGATCATTCTTTCACTGAAATTGATTTTTTAATAACATAATGTGTGATCAATTTCGAGGCTCTCTTTCAAGAAAAAACACAGCAACTTCAAATTTAATAGGGAATGTTTATTACCATTCGGCATTTATTTTTTGAAGATTAATCTTTGAAATGTTGGCCGCGGCAACGTCTCAGATGGTCCATTCGTCGAGCACAATTTTCGATGACCCTTTCGAGGATCTCGACTAGTAACTAGGGAATCACATGCGTGATATTTTACCCCAAGACCTGAATCGAAGCAGGAGGTAAAAGCCTATGACATCACATTAATGTGGACTGAGGTGTTAGATGAGTGAGATTCATTGGACGTGCAAAGTGGTTAGTAATGTTGTCACTCATTGCATGGAGGACATATGTATGAATGTATATTTGGTACTTCTGAGTCAATTCTGGAGTTTAATAAGCTACAATATCTAGAACGAAGATGCGCTGACCCTTCCTCTAGATTCTGGGGTAACTCAAATAAGAGCCCTTGAGATCCATTCCATTCAATTTAACTAGAACCGACTATAATAGGAACCAACGAACGACAACAATTATAAAACTTTTAAAATTATTAAATATACATACATACGGGATCGCTATTAAAATATTATGTACATATATAAGTATGTATGTATGCATATCCATACTTACTGCTATCTTATGGCATATATCAAATAACCCTCTCAGAGAACAAAAATTATATACAACAATATATGTACACATTATGTATGTATGGATATACACTCACGTGCAATATCACCACAAAATAGTTGCATTTATAGGCACATCACGCACTAGGCAATGTCGGTTTAATCAATGCAAACACATAAAAGGAGAATAGAGAAAAGGTATCATAATACATACATATGTATGTATCTACATATACATATATATAGCTATATTACTCCTACAACTTAAGCATAAGTTTCGTGTTGCATACTTAATTTCAACATAAAAATGGAAGAGGGTGCAAATTCGGGGTTTCGCTACATGAATAGAAAATCGTTACCCACATTGACAATGGTTGCACATCCTTCCAACTTTTCTAAAACCTTTGCAAGCAGGATTAATAGTCGACCCTTAAAAAGAATTCACCACAGTGTTATAAAAATTTAGAAGCAACAAAATGAACTCTCAGAATATACGCAAAACGTGGGGTGGAGCATGCGCCTTGTCGAGGAAACTAAGAAATGAGGAAACAATCCAAAATACATTTAAACATATGTATATACATACATACATACATACATGTGTAATAAATGCATATTTACGAGTATAAAAATTACCAAATAAGGGTCGAGCTCCTTGCTGGTCAGACAAATTTGCAATAAACTTGAGTGGGATTGAAATTATTGCTTCGATACTATAATATGTATGTACATACCGAAAACATATGCACATATGTATTTTTATTATTACCACAGCGGAAGAGTAGTAGGCATAGCGCATTAACAGCTTTATGCACAAAGAATGCGTGCAAACAGGAAAGTAATTAGGGTAGTAAAGTTTATTGAATGCGATGTTGAGTCATGAAATGTTAGGCAGTGCATAGGATATAGGCATAAGGAAATCCCAAAAGATTTTTCCGCAACCAAGTAAATATGTGCACTTGAACACGCACACACACATACATATGTACATATACATACACATGTATTTTTTTAAATTATTTGAATTAAAAACCATATGCAGAACTCACAGACAGCTTGTCTATAATAACACTGCCCTCAGATGCTCCTACCAAACATTCGTTCAGACATAAACTATAACATTTTGTTTCAGTGCTTTGCGTTGTGTTTTATTTATAGCCGGCACTCTAACAAAAAGCATCAAAACAAATACGAAAATGTCGCTGAACTAATAAAATGGAATTGCTACACCACCCACCCGTCAATCGTTGCTCCGGCCAATTGGAACAACAAATGACATCAACACAACCGGAATACATGTGCTGTTTTGGCAGTAAGAAATTATACAAAATGTTTAAAGAGGCGCAAAGCTGTAATGATGTTATAATATATTTATTGCAGTTTTGTTGCAGTCATTTGGGAGCAATATTTATCCAATATATTTCACTACAAAAACGTTTTGAAATACATAAACCTGATTAATGGTTTTTAAAGCTTGTTTCAAAGGAATGAAAAATTGTAGAATTATTTATGACATTCGTTGTGCAGACACAAATCCATATGCAATAGAGCCATTTCAGAAATTTTTGTTTTGAAAATACTGTGAACAAATTAATTGACGAAATGTCGTATTTATCGTAAACTTTAGGATAGTTGTTATTTAATTATAAAGATGTACTGTTCTTATAAATATCTAAAGATATATTCATACATATACATATATTTATATATAAATGCCAAGTATTTTCATATTATATAAGAAAATTTACCAACCTACATACATACTACAGAAAAACGCAATGAACTATAACGTTCAAATTAACAGCAGTTGGTATGACAAAAACTGGTTTCAGGTTTGACTCATTTTCGAATCATTGAAAGAAATTTATTTAAGCAACCAAACATTTAAAAGTTCACACCAAATAAATATGAACAAAGCTTAAATCTATATATAAACGCATATATACCTGCATGTACATAAGTATAAGAGTGTGAATGCGTGCTTAATTTGGCAAAATTATAAAATTTTGCATTTACAAAATAAACAATTGCTATCAGTTCTTAACTCCATTTATATATATTTTTACAGTCTATGACTGACCAGTCACCTGAAGCCCGAGCGCACAATGAGTAGTTAACCAAAACAGTAAATTTAATTAAAAAGTGCTGGATGACAGCAACGTACAGGAGTGCAAAACTCATTTCCATACGAGTATTAACAACAAAAGCTTTTAATATTCATATGGCTTTCTGATGATTGGTCACACACAGTTGGTGTCTGTCGCAATTTTTTCGCGAAGATAAATGAAGAATTTAAAGAGGAATAAAAAGCGCGGCAGAGAGAGTCAGCAAAGTGAAATTTCATACCATCGCTTCGATAGTCATTCGTACATATGTATATATGTACGTATTATAGCAAAAATAATTGCGAGGAACACATAAATATTTTATATTGGAAATAATAGCATTAAGGCATGTAATGCAAAAACTTTAATTGGTTTAGTAGGAAAACGTAAGTCCAATCAGGCGACTTGTTCAGGTCGTTGGCAATTCCGGCATTATTTGTGCAAAATCAATTTGTTGTTAATCTAACTGTTTCTAACTTCCCACGACCAATTACGTGTTTTCCATTTCTGGAGAAGATAATGCTTAACAAATTTTGCGCTTACTTAGCTTTGTAAATTATAAATAATTGCATAAATATGACACACATACCTTATTTGATTTGAAATACAAAATGATTTCTCAACAAACTTAAATTGCCGTCGTTAACTTTGAGAAGGTCGGTCAGATCGTACGCCCTTGGGAGGGAGCTTGCAGGTGTTCCACAAAAAACTGCACCACCATTGATGTTGAGCTGGGAAGTTACTATAGTGAACACCCACCCGACTGTTGATGACTTTTGAATCGGTTAAATTTACTGTTAATACGCAAATTTATTATTTTTCTTCGCTCACTTTTAAATATTATATATTATAATTTACTATTTAATGGGCAAATATGTATTTCTTCATTCCTTTCTTTTCTCTTTACTACTTTTTAGCTTTTTTAACTTTTTCAGTCACGTAAATTATACAGAATGGCTCACTTCACTCCGATTTATTTCGACAGTTATTGACCTTTCTTTGATATTTTATATAATCGTAATTTCGAAAGAATTATTTTTTACATTTTTATAAAATATTTTTGTCAATATCGCTTTTTTATCTTGAACACGGACTTATTTTGACGGCATCGTCAATTTTTTCGTTTATGATGGCTCGATTTCGTTTCTGAAGTAGCGAAAAACAAAATTGCTGACGACAGTCAAACAATGCAGGGTCGCATTAAAAATGCTCACGTGTTGTGTATGTTCAATTAAACAATTATTAATTGTAAACAAATATATTAATAAAGTGAGTATAAAGTAATTATTCATAAGCAAACGAGAAAATAAGAATTAACATTTAACCTTTTAGATCCATAATGAAATTCTAATTTTTTTATATACACTTGTTTAATTTTGTTTTTAGTGAAATAAAAGTTTAATGAAAATTAGATAACGTGTCCTTATTTTATTAATAAGCATATTTTTCTTTATAAATTATTGGAGTGATGATAAAAGGGATTGCGGTGCATATGTCATTGGATTTTGTTTTGATTCCATTAAAGAAAATCGAACAAACCTTCGCTCAAAGTAGTTGGCAAATGTTTATGTTTGCCGGTTTATAATTTTCGATAAAGTAAACAAAACACATTTCGTTAGAAATAATGGATGTATTGTTTTTTTATTTGGTTTTAATAATCAGGAATTGTTTTGCTATTTCAACAGTTGGAGACGCTAAAATTGACAATGTTTGTGACATAGAAAACATAGAAAATTGTTCACATTTGGATATTGAAAACAGTAATGAACCCATGTTAAAAACTTTATCATTTATTAACCACCTGTTTTTATTTTTGTAGGCAATATCATAGCAAATGAAGTAAGGAGATCAATCGAATCACATGTTCCATGTGCAGATGAGGATGATAATAATTGCAAATGCTATAGCGAAGTTATAAGAAATGATTTAAAACCATATCAAAACGGTATCACTCAGCAAATGCTGAACAATACAGCAAAATATGGGACTCGATATAAAATTTTGAACCACCAGCTATTTCGCGATAAAGAATGCATGTTTCCTGCACGCTGCAGTGGTATTGAACATTTCCTAATAAATCTTTTACCCCAATTACCAGACATGGATATGGTAGTAAATACTCGAGACTGGCCACAGGTTCTCACTGGTCTTGGCAGCAGAATTGGTCCAATATTCTCATTCTCTAAAACCAGTGACTACTTAGATATTATGTATCCAGCGTGGACATTTTGGGCTGGTGGTCCTGCAATTTCTTTGCATCCAACCGGTATTGGTCGCTGGGATTTGTTACGCGACAGCATATCCAAAGCTGCTATTAAATACCCATGGTCTGAAAAGCTTCCACTGGCCTTTTTTCGTGGATCACGAACTTCCGATGAACGCGATACTTTGGTTCTACTGTCACGTCGTAAGCCCGACTTAGTCGATGCTAAATATACCAAAAACCAAGCCTGGAAGTCTCCGAAAGATACTCTTAACGCAGAGCCTGCGAAAGAAGTTTTATTAGAAGATCATTGTCGATATAAATATCTGTTCAATTTTAGAGGTGTGGCTGCCAGTTTTCGTTTCAAACATTTATTTCTTTGCAACTCACTAGTATTTCACGTTGGCGAGGAATGGAAGGAATTCTTTTATTTCGCACTTAAGCCGTGGGTGCATTATGTGCCTCTAAAAAGTTATCCAAGCGAAAAAGAAATTGAGAATATTTTGAATTTTTTCCTTAAACATGATGACTTGGCTCATGAAATTTCTGAACGTGGTTCACAGTTTATTTTAAAGCATCTACGCATGCAGGACATCGAATGTTATTGGAAGAATCTCTTACTATCATATCAAAAGTTAATCACTTTTAAGGTTGAAAGTGAAACTGAATTTATACAAATTAGTCCTCTACAGAGGCAAGAACTATGAATAAAATATATTTTAAATACAAAAGAATTATATCAAAGTAAGAAAATGATATTACTCTTGAGAAACCGTTAAATTAAATACAAATTATTTCTTTACAAACTGAATGATTTCTTTGAGGTTATTATCACCGACAAACGTCAAAGTCATATGTTCTTTACATAAATATTTATTTATTGCTTCGAAATTTTCATGTACTCTCTGTAATATTGTGTTTTTATTTAATTTTAAGTAAAAATGTCTTTTCGAGAGGCATATAAACTGGTAACCAAGCAATCCATTCGCTGGTTTCCTGGACACATGGGGAAAGGATTAAAGCAAATGCAGCAAAAATTAAGATCTGTGGATTGTATAGTAGAAGTACATGATGCGCGTATTCCCTTTACAGGGCGAAACCCAGAATTCCAACACACAATATCTGGTGGAGCAAAACCACATATACTTGTTTTAAATAAAAAGGATCTTACGGACATACGCGAACAACGAAAAATTGTGAAAGAGCTTCAAGAACGTGAAGGCATACAGCATGTTTTATTCACAAATAGCAAGAACCAACAATGCAACGGTATCAAACGTATGTTACCTTTAGCGCATTCATTAATATCCAACTCGGATCGCTACAATAGGACGGGGTTAAAGGAAGCGAGTATCATGATAATTGGAGTACCCAATGTTGGTAAGAGCTCACTTTTGAATGTGTTAAGGAATAAGAATTTACGAAAGAAAAGTGCAACACAAGTTGGAAATATAGCTGGAGTTACTCGTTCGGTTATGGAACGTATTAAAATTTGTGAAGATCCTTTAATATATATGATTGATACACCCGGAATTCTCGAACCGCGCATAGCCGATGATGAAATGGGTATGAAATTAGCATTAGTGGGCTGCTTACCAGATCATTTAGTTGGTGAAGAACTGATAGCGGATTACTTATTATATTGGATGAATAAAAATAGCCGGTTCGAATATGTTAAAGAAGTGGGATTGGAAAGCGCTACGGATAACATTGCAGAAGTTCTAGTGTCCTATGCCAAAGGTTTGGGCGCCGAAAGAAAATATAAAAATCTCGATGGACAAATAGTTAATATACCGGACGTTTTGGTTGCTGCACGTAAATTTATCAAAATTTTTCGAAGTGGCGTCTTCGGAGGTATTAATTTAGATAGATGATATCTTTTCGGAAACATTTATATGCATATATTTATAAATTTGTAAAAATATCAGTAAAATTACATATACCAAAATTATTTTTAATATTTTTTGCTTAAAAAATATATTATTACGTAATTATTGTTATATATTCATAGTGCTGAACTATCTAAAATTGGTACGTCAATTGCTATGTTTCCAACTCCAGGCACTGGAATAGAATAGGATACAGCGCCACTATCAACGTTTTCGGAGCTTTCATTAGCGTTCGGTTGGTTTAAATCACCTGTCATTAAATTATCGGCTCCATCAGCAGCAGCATTTTCGACAGTAGCAGTTGTTGCATCAGGATTACCTGAAGGTGTATGTTGTTCATTCATATTCATCACACGTAATTCGTCTGGAACACCCAATAGACGCTCGTTTATAACACGTTGGAATGGCGAGCGCCTCTCAAAAAAATCAATAACGAACTCTGGGTTCTTCTGCCTTACTTCCTCCCCAGCAACCAAGTCGAGCTCATCGCAAAACTGCCATTTAATTAGGTAAGATACGTCACCGGTTTCATCAGTTGCCCCAACAATTTGTTCCATTGCTAAACCACGTTCGTAGCCTCGCGGTTTTAGAATTTCCTCGACCTTCGGTTTCTTTTCACCACGTTTCTTTGACTTAGCTCTGGACTCTTCAAACTTTTGTATTAAAGCTGGACAATCACAATTCTCTTCAGGTTCCCAAGTATTTTCCGCACTGTAAACAAAATAGTTCGTTTATATTGTTGAAATGAACATTACAAATATACCTAGGGTATCCACGCCATTTAATATAATATTCAACTTTCCCTTCTGGCGTAATTCGTTTGTCGACAATCTTTTCGACAACAAAGCCAGTTTCCTTAACTGTTCGTACCATTGTTTTATTAAAAAAATTTTAAGTTAATTTATGACAAAACTCCCACGAAATTGTATAGCGACACAAGAAAATATCAAAACTCAGGGTTGCATTAAAATTTATAATGCATATGAATTTCAAATGATGTAGGAAATCTGGGAAAGTTTTTTAGTGAAATCGTAAATCCAGAGAGCTCAAAGGCTGTACAGATATCATAATAAAACGGAAATAAAACAATATTGCCATAAATTAATTTTGTAATAACGCGAGTGTGCTTATTTAATTTATATATTACACTATTTAAGTAACTGGTACCATAAAATTTGGTTACTCAAACAATATCGCGCAAACTGTGGTGAAAATGTTGCTGTAAATTGAGCTCTTACACCCTTTTTAAAAGTGAGGCAAAGCAGTGCTGCATTATGCAGTAATAAGTAGTCTATTTAATGACTTTTAAGAATTAAACGAAGACATGTTTTCTTTACATTAATAAATATAGTTTAATAAATAATAACCTTTAATAATAAAATATAAACAAAATTTATTTATAATATTATAGAAATTATAATTTCATAATAATACATTTAATATACGTTCCCATTCAACTTCGAATCTGCGGGTGGCAGAAAACTTAACACAAAGCCCGCAGTTTTCTGTGGTGAATTTGGCTGCCGAAATTACAACAACCACAATAGAAAGTGTACTACTGTGCCTAAACATATTAAACAAAAGCGTGGAATTGGCTTCAGAAATACCTATATTTTTGTTTAGAGAATTTACAATTTATTAAAATAAAAGCAAACGTAATGGGCAAGGAAAAGAAGCAATTTAATATCGGAGATTTAGTTTTCGCTAAGGTGAAGGGATACCCGGCATGGCCTGCGAAGATAACTAAGTATAACAATAAAAAGTACAGCGTGTACTTTTATGGAACTGGCGAGACAGCAAACATTAAAGTGGAAGATCTCTTTCAGTATGCGGAGAGTAAGGAAAAATTTGCTACCGATAAAAATCTTAAACGATCAAATTTTCGCGAGGCTATTGAACAGATAGAGGCAGCCTTGAATGGGGAAGACTCGGCACCAATCGATTTACCGGAGGCTGCACTTGCGGCGGATGAATTGTTGGATGATGGAATTGACGGATTTGCGGATGTTACTGCTGATGATTCGCAAATACAAGAAAATGCGGTTCAGGAAATAATTGAAAAGGATGCTGACTCTAGTGCAGCAAATATCGATGAATCGTTGCCAAATAAACCAAAAGAAGAAAAGCAAGTTCCAGTCGTAACGTCTACTACTGATAGCGCTGAATTGGTTAGTCGTAGTGGACGCAAAATCAAAACGAAACGGTACATTGATGAAGTCCATGAGGGTCCCAATTTATCCCATTCGCCACCAGCAAAGAAAAAAGTACCAGCAGAAGGTAAGTACAACTGAACCTGAGGAAGTTAGCGGGCACTTTTGTTTGTTGAAACAAAATGGAATTGGAACGTGTTGTTTTTGATTTCACATAAATTTGGCGGACATACATATGATTAATCGCTGGCAATGTTTAACTTCACGACATGCTTTGTTATTTTTTTTACTTATGGAAGTGCTAAAATTCCATATATCACCTAAAGGGTAATTTTTATAATAAACCCGATATACATATATTATTAGCATCGAATTTATGCAAATTGAAGTCAAAAAACCAATTTTTACTTCACTTCAAACGGCCAGAATGAAAATCGTTTCTCAAAACAAATGCCTCCAATCATACCACAAGTCGGTTCACCGTAACCAACCGTTTTCTTATCTAACCAAGGACTGAACTAAGCAGCTTTGCTCCAAATTACTTCAGGAATGTTTTCTGACGCTGTAAAAATAACAACAATCAATCTATCCTGAACTAAATGTAATATTATAATTGTGCAGTTAAAAATTAAATAATTTTCTCAAATAATTGTATGCAATGCTATGATAATAACAAAACTTCCTCCGATATAGTCCAGTTAAATTCTTATGATATTTTGATTAAATGATATTTTTTTCTTCCCAGGTGTTGGCGCAGATACAAAAAAATCTGCAAAGAAATCGAGCAGTTCCTCTAAACCAACGGCTACCATAACGCCAACCGTAAAGAATTCGGCGAGTAACAAAAGTGAAGTCTACAACAATCTTTTATTAGCTTTCGTACCACCAGCTAAATGTGTCGGTATCAAATTAGATTATGGAAAACCAGAAACATTTGCAACGCCAGCAGAACGCATTAAATGGGAAGAGAAGTCTAGAAAGGAAGCTGGTGACCTAAAAGAAAAATTGGAAATTGGTCAAATAAAACTAGATGCGGTAAAAGATCGTGTTATTGTAAATCCTCCAAGATCAAAAATACACCAAGATGCTGCAAATAGATTCACCAACCAAATGATAGAGCAAGAGGATGCGCTCTTCGTTGAAAGAGATTTTATACAAATGTCGCAGCAATTGCGTGAGAGTTTGGGCCTTAAGAGTGCCGACGTAAATCGATGTGTCGAGTTACTTAAGCAGTATAAAGATTTCGAATTAACACAGTTAATGCTATTACGTAATCCAGATTGTGTGGATATAATAAGACGTTTACGTCGCTACGTGGGAAATTTAAAAGAATGGTCTATGGGTGCTGAAGAAGAAACTGAATTTAGGACTAAAGCAGAAATTATACGCAATGAAGCAATTGTTATTTACAATTACTTCAAAAAAATATTTAAAATTTCTTCTGATCAACAATTTTGGGAGCCTTTCTGTGATCAAGTTAAAACTTACAAGGAGTGCACAAAACATATTAACGAGCAAAATCGTATTACAATGAGTGAGAAAACGTATATGAGTATTCTGGCCACTTTTAAAAAAGATGGAAAACATGCTCAAGACAAAGAATCGGAGTCGAAGAGTGATGATAAGAAGGAAAACATAAACCAAGACAACCAAGCGGATGCTAATGAGAAAACAAACACTAGCAACACGGAAACTGACAGAGCAGAGATGGACGAGTCCATCATAAATACAGAAAGTAATATCCTAGAAGCTGTAGAGTCTTAAATATTCCTTGTTCAAAAAATAAATATTCGAAGAAACCAGATTCCATTCATTGTCGATCTGGTAATGTAACTGTTGGAGCGCTATTAATAAAAATCTTTAATCCGTATTTTACATACATACATACCTACTTTTAAATGTATATGAGAAAAAAAAACATTCTGTAGTATATTTACTTTGTTTTTTTTTTTTGTTTTTTGTTTAATTCCGAATCGAATAATGTATCGAAAACAATAAATCTACTGATATATAACATTGGCTTATAAAATGTATATTGTTGTTTGAAACACACATTTAACATTAACAAAATATGTCAACCATCCTACTAATGAAACCAGCGGGATTGGTTTCAGTTTGCTTCAACACATATTTCATATCACCTAATCGTTTTATAATGTGTACATCAATAAGTTGCCAAACCTTATGAAGTATTTGTATTTACATTTCTTATGTCAAAGTTTCGGTTATTTGATTTAATTGAAGCGAGTTTATAGAGAATGAATTGAAGAACATCACATAAATTCGATATATATGAAATAGTAATTAGAGATTTTCTATATAAAGATATACAAGCAACGCATACACATAATAAAGCTATCAATATCCATAAAACATTTTCTTAAATCTACTTTTATTGCGTAATTGCTTCCAATTACGCAACACAAAGTTAAAAGTAAGTATTCATTATTTAATTATTTTAATTATAATTATTTGTTGAAAATTAAGCATATTTGATTAAAAAAATATTAATAAATAATAGCATATAAGTTACTCTTTTGCATCTCCGATTCCGTCAGGCAAAATAGCAAATGTCGCTTCACTTTCGGGTAAGCAGGGCGAGTCGTATATTTTGCAAATACGGGTTTCACCTCGGCCTTTACGCAGATATAACCTAGTGGTCGAAGCATGGGCGATTATATTTCCACCAATAGGTTTTTTAGTGTCCGCAGCGTACATTGCTGGACCGGTATCAACTTGAGCTACCACTTGATTGGTTATAATTACAGCTACACCAAACTAAAAACAAAAAATGGTTGATCTCTATGACAAAAGTATATTGAAGATATCTACCTCATCAGCTAAACGTAACAATAGACGTAAAAAACGTGCCAAATGCATTTGACGCGCTGATAATTCACCACGTCCTGTGTAATCAGTACGGTACAAAGCAGTTGCGCTATCAACGACCAGCAATGCATATCTAATAATGGATAATTTAATAAACATTTTTGTTAAATATATATATGTTTTATATCACCTTGATTCCACCATCATTGCTGCAGCTTGTGTAAGCAATTGTGTCTGGTGATCTGTGTTGTAGGCTCGAGCACAGGCAACGTTATCAAGAACCTTGAATATATATAACTTGTGTTTTAATGTTTTAGTAGTTACTAGTATTTTTATTTACCTCCTCCTTAACAAGATTAAACCGTTCCGCTATGGCAGCTAAACGTTCCGGTCGAAATGTACCCTCTGTATCGATATAGAGGCATTTCCCTTCACCACCACTCCGACTTATTGGTAACTGGCAGGTTACAGCCAATGTATGACATAATTGTGTCTTGCCACAACGGAATTCTCCAAACATTTCGGTTATGGACCCTGTTTCGATGCCTCCTCCAAGCAATTTATCGAGCTCTTTCGAGCCTGTTGTGAGCATAACAATTTCGGAACGTTTTTGATAAATAGATGTAGCAGTGGTGAAACCCATCGGTACAAGCTTAACTGCCTCTGTAAGGATCTTATCAGCTTTTGTTTCAGAGAATCCGCGTATTTGCAGTAAAAGCTTTTTAGGTGAAAAAGCTATTGATTCCACTGTATGAAATCCCGCCTCTTGTAGTCGTTTGATGTCATTGCTTGTTATTCCATTAACCTGTAAACGAATGTATTGTATAAAATAAATCATTTAAACTTTTGTTTTTTCAACACACTTCCAACTTGGTAATTGAGACAGGACCAAACTCCTCGTCTAACTCCACAGAACAGTTAGCTAGGGCAGTTGTGCCCACGGTTTCTTGCTCTTCCATATACGACATATTTTTACTATATATTTTGCGCTTTTAACACTTTTTCTGTTTATAATTATTTCCTATTTTTTAAATGCTGCATTTACACCCCGTGGAGATAATAATAAACAAATTGAAAATTGCGCTTGCACTCTCTAGTGCTGCCAAACTCATTTCATGATCTTAAACATTTTTAAAAAGTACATATGACAATTCTGAGGAATTACATTTGGCTGCTTAAAAAATATTCAAATTTTCATAATTGACCTAAATTGTATACTATAAACATATATATTTATATATAAATTAATATTTTCATATTGGTTAGGACAATTTGTGCAATATAATTCAAAATGGGGGCCACACTTTGCATACACTGAACACACCGAAGTTGACATTTGGATAACCTATAAAATTACATAAAAACAAAAAGCCGACATGTTCTAATATTCTCTGTTGCAACAATCTTGTAAATCTTGAAATATTAATAAAATCTGTTAATACATATAAAAATCGTAGATATTATGACAAATTATTTTCACTTGGATGTGGAATTGTGAGTACTATTGCTACTAAAGCAAATAACCATTCATAATTATATGCAACGTATGATAGGAAGCTACGGGACGAAGACAAAGCTGTTGTTACTCCTGCTTACTTTCTTGGGAGCATAGAGGAATCATTGCAAAGTTTTTTTGGTGAAATTGGAGGACAGACCGACTTGCAACTAATAAAATTTGATAAGAACCAAAAGCGTGCAATTCTGAGAGTTCATGAAGAATTTGTGACACGCACACGTTCAGCTATTACACTAATTGGACATTTTCAAGACATTCCTTGCCACTTCATAATAAGAAATACGTCTAAGGAGCAGTTAGACTTTTAAATTTTTCTAATTCACGTTTAAAAGTAATATAAAATGTCGTACTGCAAGGTATTTGGCAAAGATGTAGTTATGTTTGTTACCAAAGAAGATCATGCAACACCTAGCACTGTTGAGTTGCCACCACCAGAGCCACCACAAGGCCTTATAACCAGTGATGGAGAAATTAATTGGAGTTGCCCCTGTCTAGGAGGCATGGCTACCGGTCCATGCGGTGTTGAATTTCGTGATGCATTTTCTTGCTTCCATTATAGCAAGGCAGACCCGAAAGGTTCCGATTGTTTCGAAGCTTTTAGAGCTATGCAAGATTGCTTTGTACAATATCCCACAGTATACAATAAGTCTTCCGGCAACGATGAAGATGAAGAGGAGGGTGGATTAAATATGTTAAATTTGGAAGAAGCTGAAAAAGAGGCATCAACCGAGGTTCCTAGTGTGGAGGCTACGGCCGTTAACAAGAAAGAAAATTGAACTATGGGTGGATGGGGGAAAAAAGTGTACGTTTAAAGTCGAAGAAATTTTTCTTCAACTATGAAATTCGCCAGACAAATATGAATTAATATAATTTTGTTATGATTACATTTTCACATACAATTTTTAAATGTTCACGGTTATCTTGAAATAGATTTTTAGTAATAGTTCTCTATATAATTAAACATCTGAAATATAGAAATGTATATTATTCCAAAAATTTAAATATATATTTTATTTCTAAAAAAATACATTAATTTTGATTAAAAAGAAATTATATATTGGGAGTGAAGTGATTTAAAAATATAAATTAAATCAAGCGAAAAAATCACCAAAGTGTTAATGCTTAAATAATTTTTAGAACTTTTGGACAAAAAAAAATTTATATTCATATTGTGAAAATATATATATACAGTATATTTTTTGTATATAGTATTCATACTAATGTCTTTATTACAGCACGCCGCATTCAAACACTATGATAATTTCATCTTATTCAGTCAACTTATTAAATTAAAAAGAGATAGCACGAAAATATTTTGATAATACAGCACTGCCCTTGACTACAGGGTTGCTTTGAATACAATTATTTCTTTACTCTTCTATTTTGACCTCAATATTTTTTCTTTCATTTCCTAGCATTCTATCAGTGTTACCAGGTAAAGAATTGTTAAATGTAATCAAATTGCCTTTATTTCTAAAAAGTTGTTATATTTGCTTATTTCGTCAAAGCTAAATGATTATTAATTTTTATTAAATATTTTATGTACATACTATATATTTATTTAACGTATATCATAGGATGCAGTTGAAATATGATGGAAAATGTTTAACTTTTAAGAATCGTAAGAATAAGAATACTCCAAATTAAATTGATGCAACCCTGATTTTTTCAGTTTATTTATTTTTATAGCTTTGATTCGCCTCTGTTAATTACGTCGTCGTCGTGCACGTTCGTTCAGTTACTTATTTCGTCAAGTTTTTATTCCTTTTTGATATTAAGTTCACCATTGTGTAAAGAAATAAATCTAAAATAGTGAGATGAAAATTAATTGTGTTAATGTTAATGGGCAGAAAAATGCCTGAAGACAATAGATTGTGTAATCTGCAAAAAGAAGATAGTATCTCAAAAAAGTTTTGGGTTCAAAAGTGTAAAGTGCAATTTTGCGATAGATTGAGAAAAACACGAAACAAGTGTGGAAAATTTCACATTTGAAACTCAGCAGTAACTCATAAAAAACTTGGCGAGTTTTATATACGAGAATATTCTCCGTGCCCTTAAGCACCCTTGTCAAAATTCCACAATCTTTCCTTCCTCTTGGCATTGTGGAGTGTGCGGCTATTAGATCTAGATTCATAGTGCGAAGGAAAAAAGGCGAAAGAAGTAAATAGAAAGTTTAATTGCCAACAGCCACCAGTGTCGTGAGTGTGGAATTACTTTCCTCTATCTGTCCTATTTTGCTCCAAAGTTGGTGGCCATTGAAACCAAACGATCAACAAATCGATTGGGTAATTGTCCATAGTGAGCTCTAAGTAAAGGAAGAATAGTTAAAAGTATAATTGTGTTTTGAGCTAATAGCAATGTGTAATTGAAGTGTTACGGAGAGTTTAGTAATATTTCAGTGCCAAAGCAAATACCACCAAATTTTTATTTCTTTTCAAAAATAATTGTGTCATAATAATTAAGGATATAAGCAAGTTTAAGTGATACATTGAGATAATTGGCGGGCAGCAAAAAATTAAATTCAGCTGCCGTCATTACTATCGAATAAATACAGATAAGATATAGTTCAACACAAAAAAAGGAATTAAAAAGTCGAAGTCAAATAAAAAAAAAAGTAAATTTAAATAAAAAACAACAAAATGGTTGCAATCAGTTCTGGCGTCAATGCGTCAAATATAAAGAAAGCAGCTGCTGCCGAGTCCACAGCCTCCACAGTGATGCTAACCGCCAGTGGTAAACCAAAAGAAAAAAGAAGGTATGTACATACATATATACACTTGATAGTAGTATTATCATACGATTCTGTAAGTCAACATTAGTAACTTAATAATATGTTATTTATTCAAAGATTTATGTTAAATTATTGATATTTAAACAACTAAGTATTGTTTTTGTTACAACCTTAATCCCATACGACGAATATTTATGTTTATGCCTTACTTATACATATGTTTTCAGTTTTATTGTGAACGATAGGATCGGTATAAATATTTGTATTTCGAAGTAGATTAAAATATTAACTTTAGTTGACAAATCTGCTCACTTGATGTGTTAATAATGCGCCACTAAGTGTTTTAGGAGTTGTTGAAAATGTCAATAAATTAAAAAGAAAGAAATATTTTACCTATTACGATTATAAACATATGTATGTATATCTTATCTCCCCTTTGCTTTCACGATAACTTAGGGATAAACATTTCGCTAATAGTTAGTAATTTTAATTCGTAAGTTTTAATCGCTGATAAATATGGGCGTATCAAGTTTCTGAATTATTTTTGTAATTTTTTATATTAAATCATAATTGATGATATGACCTACTCATACCATTATAATTCGACTGACTATTGTTGTACGACAATGTGATAATTATATAATATATTTAAATATTTTGCATTTATTCATGGATGGAACATATTTTCTCTCTTTGCTTTCAATTATATTTCACTCTCGTTCAATTGCTTCATTACGCAATTTCTTCAATCACCTTGAACTGATTCAAACTGTACCTATATTAATTTTTTTTTTTTCAAAATGCATACCTTTTGCAAAATAGTTTTGGTTCATATATTCCAAGTCATCATGATTAAAAGCAATACAACGAACGTAAGATAAGAATATGATAAATTTTGAAATGATGTTAACACAACTAAGAATATAATTTGATAAAAATTCGAAATGCTGTTAACAAGTTTGTTTTCATATTAAAGTAATTAAAAAATCCAAAAGCACTTGTATTTTGTGCTCTAAAAATTGAAAGTACAAAGCTCTCCGAAGTAGGAAACTATGACAGGAAGGCATTGTTTTTTTTTATTTTTTATTAGTTTGGCATTAAAACAATTCCTCAATGAACCAATAAAACGTACAAGTTGCAAGAAATAGCAAACCAAATACACAAATTTGTGCATGCAATCAACATAATTTATGGATAGGTATCTGTGTATATATTTATAATTGCAAACTTTAATTTTTTCTTTTGTACCTTTCGGTATATCAACCTTGAATTCATCAAGTTGAATGCTAACTCCACGAGGTCGGTTAAATGTAAATTGAAATTTAAAATTGTATACAGCAAATAAAAACAAAAGCAAATAATTACTAAGAATTTTTAACTATTTAGAAATAAAAGTAAAAATATAAAGATTAGTAGGCATAAAATTATGTTTGGTCCAAAATTTTTTTTTTTTAATTTTGACAAAATTTTTTTGTTTTATAATTTTATATGCATTCGAAGCTATGCATATAATATAAGCACATACATATATAATATTATTTGTTCCTATTTAATGGAAATTGTGTAAACAAATGTATTGGTTGGTATATTGTATAGTATTACTCACGTGTTATAAACGATAAAACGAACGATGGATAACAAAGTCAAGAGGTGAATGTTAAAGTGTGTGCAATATTTTGCTGTTTTTTTTTACGCGCGATCTAAAAACAATAACAAATATTGCAATACCTTACATGTTGTCTCTGCGATCGTGTTGGATATACATATGTATGTAGATTTGGTACTTTTTCGATTACTTAAAAATTATGAATTGATGTTTTTGCAGCAGCATACCTTGGCAATTTGTTTGTAGTTAAAAGTTTTGCGGAATTCTTTTAGGAGACAGCACTCGAGTAGACGCAAATCCGTGTAATTTCTGGTTTTAAAGATCCGTCGTTTTAACGAATCATCAGCAAAAATATCGAAATAATATAATATGAAAATCAATAATATAAAAATTTTACGTGTCCCATATACGTATGTACATATGTATGTACGTATACTGCAACACATAAATTTTTGTTTTGACAACGGCCTTGAGTTCACGAGTTCAATTGCTTTTCACCTTGCATAACCGTTTGCGTTAAAGTGCATACTCACTCTGATTGTCATAGTCAGCTGATTCTTTACTTGCCCAATACCAACTTTTTCAATTTTTACAATTATAAACCACTATAAGCCCCTCAAGCATAAAATAATATGAGAAAAATATATATGTACATATGTATGTACTAATTTAATTTGATGAATCTTAGTATATTTAATTAATTTATTTTTATTTCATTTCTAGTTGAAATTGTAGTTTCACTTTTTTCAAAATGTCATTTATGTATGTATGTATATATACATATATCTATAAAATCACATTCAAATTAAATGTCTCAAAATTGAACGAAAACCAATTTAAATAATTTTCTGGGTTTATTTTTAGCTAAAATCTCGTAATTTTACGCATTTTTGTGGCTACAACAACACGTTTGTTCTAATTTGTTTTGGACTTCATTCGCATATTTCATGTTTGTTTGTAAATACGTAGTAGGCATATATTGTGTTTACATACATATGTATGTGCGTATGCGTGTGTTTGTGTGTTATGGCTTTATCAATTCGCCCGTTTTCTTATCTCACAACTTTTGGGGTTTTAAAAGTTTATATGATTTTTGTGCTCCTCCACGCCTTTGTGGTATTAATGAAGCATTCGGATGCATTTAAAATGTGGATATTTTTTTTTTTTTTGTTTTTCTTGTTGTGCCGCGCTCCAATTTCAGAAGCTGCCGATTGTAACGAAGCCGATTTCAGTGCAGGCCTACGTGACTTTCCACTGGATCAACCGACGTAGCTTGCATGAAAATTTATACATGTAGTAGAAAAACAACCGGCTTTTGATTGGAAAAATTAAACGTTTAAAAATGCAAAACACTGACACAACCACACACGCGCATGCAGCCAATTGTGCACCCAGCGTCAACCGCACGCGGGACATGCATCCGTTTTGTTTGGGGCTCCATACAAACACACTTTGCACTACACATTCTCATATGTACATATGTATGCGCGTGTGCATGGGGATAGCATGTCGTATACATACATACATACATATATGTTGGGTGCATTAAATGTTATTATTTTCATACATTGCATTTATACCAGCTTAACGCCCTGGTTGCAACCTGTTGTGTGACGTTATTTACTTTTCTTTACGCATCACAATCTGTTAGGGTTATGAGTTTTG